AATGGCAGTATGGAATTCCGATAGGCCGGAGTTCGACAAGGGATGTGGCGGAAGCATCGACGCATGGGGCGTAAGGATTTCGCAGCCATTAACTCATTATGAAGGGGATGGACGGTGTCATTCAGAATTCGGTCAGCGAATTGCTCCACCGAGTTGAACTGTCGCTGCACGATGATATCAAAATTTATACACCAGTCGATTGACAAAAATGGCCACTCCTTAACCTCTACTGCCTGTTGGAGATGCTCTATCATTTCGAAAACAACAAAATGTCGAAGGAGTGATTAGTTCCGAGTCAATATGGCTATTCAACCACGTATCCTGAAGGCAAATTACTCCTGTTTTGCCATGTTCTTTGGTTGACAGAAGTAATTGCAAATCATGGGTTTTGTTAAATATCGATCGACAGTTAGTCGAAAGAAAACCCGGGATTGACAACTTGTTTTTAGGCTGGCGTTTATGCGCAACTTGCCATCCACAGCGATGTTGCTTTCGAAAAATCGGCCTTTGCTGATACGAGCGTGGGAAGGCCAGCGAGGAAGGACGAGAAACAGGACAAGTTGTCAGAGTGTAACTGCTGCTGGCACGCTGAGTTCGTTGCGTTTGAGAGCGTGAGAAGGCCAACGCAGGACAATCGCAGAAACGACAAGTTGGCCGCAAAGTGCAACCACTAGAGTCATGATCAGGAGGCGGAAAAATCGATGCAGAAATTTCGCAGGGTTTAAGCTCCTTTAAAAAGGTGCTAGCGTACTGTAAAGACAACCTCATAGGAATAGATCAATTAAAACAAAGGAATAAGACTGGGGCATGCAATTAATTAATATTCATGTGACTGGAGGGAAAAAACAAAAAATGACGGCTCAATTTCAAAAGCCCGACTTCCCCTCGTGGGGGCTGTCAGCGCCATCCCTGCCATGTGCCGTTGTGGCACGGCCAAACTCCACCATGGGACCACGACTTCGGGTTGTAGTGGAGAGCGACTCGAATTCGCCGTAAGCCGCGGTCTCCGACGGCGTAGGTGGACGCGTCAAGGCGATGTCGATGTGGAGATCCATCGCGTCGCTGGCTGTCCAGCGGCGTGCAGAGTCGAACCACGTCACGACGGTGCCGACGCAAGGCTCCATCCGACCTTCCATCCAGCGGGGTCCGCAAACCCTGTACACACGGCACAGCGCACTGGGCCCCCTCACCCGGTTTAGCCCGCCGGTCGAGACGGTTGCCCGGGGTGTGGCCGCTGAGCAGAGCCCAGCTACGTGGAGCCACATGTGAGCGTTGGGTGCTAGCAAATGGACTACTATAAATAGTTCAAGAAATGCCTGCGGCCATTACTGGAAAACTTCGATTTTGTAAAGTGCAATAAATCGAACGAGAATAAAGAACCGGAACACGACAACTTCTCGGAACCCGTGTGCTCTCAGTGTGTGGTGGTCGTGATGCGTTTGGCAAAGATCCGGGTTCTTGAAAGACCACGTTTCTGTTCCTATGTCACCTGTTTTAAATCTCCTACGTGCTACAGAAACACGTGGGCTTGATTGGATTATAGCCGAACTAATCGTCTTAGTCTTCTTGTGCCTTCTCAGTGCATGAATGATTTCCTTTGGACAGGAACGTGAGTCTTTCGTAAGCCACGGCTTACCATCGTATCCTTAGCGCACGAAATTTCGCCAAGATCGGTCCCGCGTGCCCTAATTTTCATAACGTGCTGATTTTCCAAGGGAGTGGATTCCTGTCTGCGTCCTTTCTGTGCTTTAGCCTCGAGTTTCAGCCAGGTTCTGTGAAGTCCATAGCTTTTTTAGACGACCACCGTGTATGCTGCCCTTATGATCCCTTAAAAAAACTTGACTTTCTAACACGTGGCGTATGTGGATCTTCTGAGCGCGAACGGGGTTCCGCAACGGATGTTGTAATAATACCCTGTGCCTGTTTGTCGTCCACATTCGCAGCCTCTCACCACAGAATCCTTACGTGACAGTTGCATTTCGTGTGAGCAATGTAAAAGTACCCTTATACATATACCATACACCGTCATCTGTACTTTAAGTTCGGTGAGGTGGTTACAGTAAGGATAGGTGTTGCTTTTTAAGTTCCTTAGAAATTAACTGCGAACTTGGAGTAGATCAGGATATTGAAGGTCTATAAGCTCAGACCACAGATTTTAGGTATGAATATTTAGGCCGACGTCCATTAGTCCTACCGGATAATCACGTAATCATAATTAACTACCAACAGACGGTTAGCAGTATACTTTAAGGTAAGGTGATTACATACTAACAGCAAAGACAGTAGCCATAAGCCCATACACGCGTGTCTCACCGATATTCTGCCGTTGCATTTGGCCACTACCTGTGCTGTTAATATGGAATGCCCTTACCCTAAAGTCACGATAGTGATCCTTTCTTTATGCATCTATCGGCAGGCCTAGAGTATATTATGCACCTTTAGCTTATTCACACCTCATCCTCCCCCTCCTCCTCCTCCCCCTCCTGCCCTGGATACAGGGAAAATAACTACTTGCACTTTACGCTTATTCGCACCTCCTCTTCCTCCTCCTCCTCCTCCTCCTCCTCCTCCTCATCATCATCATCATCATCATCATCATCATCATCTCCATCACCACTGTCAGCAGCAGAATCATCGTTCTCGTCATCACCCTTTCTCTTCCGGCCAGACTACCCAGCGGCGTTATTTGATCTGACCCGATCCAGTCCGATGATGGCGAAGGTATCGCCCACAAGCCAAGCTTAGAATTTAGGTCTGTGGCCCTGGAAGACCACACCAAGCGATGGGGTCTAGAGACCCACTGCCGCAATAAAAGCATCCAGAGGGCTTTACTGAATCTGCCCTGGATGCAGGGAAAATAACTACGTGAGAATAACAGGAAGGTTACTTCGGACATAGATGGCCAGACACACGGTAGCAGTGCGATTATGCGTCTACTTTCAAGTCGCGGCACACTCGCGAGCGACCCGGCCAATCAGTCAATATTGACGAGGTCAAAATTCTCGTGATGACGACCACGTGGGCCGCGAGCTGCTCGGATCAAGAATTTCCGGTCGCTGCCTATCAGCAAGCGCGATGATCTTCCCTCTCAGGACTTAACGCTACTACCTTGCCTGCGCAGAGGGATGCGCGGGTGAACCCAGCTTTCAGCAAGTCAAATGGCCTATCACCTAACACTAGGATGAACTCGAGGTCAATAACGACTTGGGTGTGTACAGTGAAGCTATCTTTACAGTTCGTAGAGGCATATGCGATGAACGTGGAGGCTGCAAAGTTTAACGAGTGGGCGGTTGCGTTAGCAAATGGGTTGCCTGAGTTGTTTACTATATGTGCAGCCGCCAGCCTTACCCGCTGTTATCTCTGACGATGCATTAAAGCGTAAATGAGGCGATTAAAATTCTTATTTCAGCCATCGGTCCTCCATCCGTCACTCGTCTTTTCGCATGTCTTGGAAGAAGAATGTGAACTAACACACCGGTTTCCTTGATATTCTCATCAGCAGGCAACCATCTGACGATCTATTTCCTGCCTATCAAGTTTTACGCTGTCGGGCTCGAGTCAGACACAACAACATGTTGATTGATTGCTACCAGCCAGTTATCAGCATAAGGCCAAAGGAACTGTAATTTTCCAAATATTACACTGGGTTCAGTTAAAGAGTCTGAGGACTCAGAGTAATAGGCTCCTTCTCCCAATTCGACGTTATTCTTCCTACTCACTGCTGACATACGCTCCAGGAGTGCGTATCATCAGATTTCAACCAAACCCCACTCCAGGGAGCACGCATACTGTTTCTACACTCAGATGCGCGCGCACATCTCCTCCCCGCTTTTCATTTTTAGCAGCGATAACCGATCTCGTGGGATCTGTTGGGGCGAGGTGGACCCTAAGGAACACTTCCTCAAAGCAGCTCAGTGCGTTCCTCAGTATAGTAAATGTGAAGCGCTTGAAAGTTTCACGCCGTGACAATGATCACGACCTCAGATGCCGCCAAAAACATCACTCGGCTTCACTTAGAACTGAGGGTCAGAATATAAAAATTTAACATGACCGTTATGGAATTCTCAGTTATGGTAGATTGAAAAACCCTCCTTCTGAAGTTTGGTCTACGTCAGTTGCAGTATCGCGATGCAAAAAAGATACTCCGCACGCACCTAAATCAGCAATGTGATTATGCCCAGGTCTGTAGTTCAGGATAAATACAGTGGATTTTCTGTCTCATAAAATCCTAAGCGAAATTGTGTGGTGTGGTAGGTAGGCGCTCACCGATTGTTCTTACGGAACTCCGCCGTCCCGTTGGGCTTTGGGGCTCTCTCTGGAGCCAAACCACCAGCCGCGCAGCGGCGCGTAATATAGGCAGAATAACATTACCGACAAAGACAAAGGAGACAGGAGTGACCATTTCTGGCATCTTAGCCGTTGTAAGCCAGTCATGGCCAATGCCGAAGTGTGGAACACCTGGGGCTCCATTTCGCGACCTGTTGGTTAGGTGTCCAACGCCCCTAACCACTGAGCCACAGGCTCGTTTTCCTATATATCGCGATCAGGAAGTGTGTTTCCGATTCTTAAAGATTATCTAAGTAGAGTTGTAAAATTACTCATCGTGCAACACAACCACAAAATAGCTGGTTGGATGCCGACTTTTAAATGGGCTTCTTCCGGGCCGCCTGCGAGCACTACGCTTTGTGGAAATGACTACTTGAGTAGCAGAGAGTTCTGCAACTAATTTTCTATGCCCATATAGATTCAATCTTTGTTTTATAGAAAACGCATACAATAATATTCTCTCTTGTACTCGTTTGTTGAAAAATCACGGCAAGAGCGAGAAAGTGCTAGTTTCATAGGTCCAACCGTCGGCCGGCCGATTGCTAAATGGTTGGGGGGTAGTTCACACAAGATCAATATAAATATATTGAATGGGGGTAGAAAGGATATGAGACGGTAGCCACGTTGCCGTCGTCGTCCGCGTACGGATGGCTGGGTATGCGCATCCAGCTCGGTCAATAGACGCTAGCTATCCACTCGGCTGCCACGGCTCCTCACCCCCTCACTTCTGGCCTCCGGATTGTTCGCTGAGCTGTCCCCCTTGACTTTCTCTCGCGTAGTTTCGCCGTTCATGGGGAATTCCGGATATCTAGAGAGGAACTTTTCCGGAAGTGCCCAGCTGGGAAGGGCCAGCCTGCTATTACGGATGCCCACCTCTTCCACGACCTCTTCTATGATGGCTAAGGCCTGATTGGGGGAGGAAGGGAGGAGAGCGGGAGAGGAAATGGATCAGGATACCGTTCCCAAATAAACGCAAACATCCGCTTTCGGAAAATACCGATTTTAAAAAATCAGTCTACATTAAGACCATACGAAGACAATAATAAAAGACCTTTAGGGGTCGCATCATAGCAAATAAATATAAATTTTCAAGTGTATTTTAGAGCAATTAGAGAAATTCTGCACATTATTCAATTTTCGGTTGTAGAATAAACAGTTACATATAAAAACGGTCAGCGAGCAGTGAAGAAAACTCCCGATGAAATAAGCTAGATGCATATGAATTGGCTAACTTTTAGGGATAAAAAACTGCCACTCATGAAAGGGAAGATATGCGTGTCGAACAATATTGGCCTGCGTATGGTATTTTATAAGGGATTCACAAGGTACATCGGCATGACAGAACTTCCTAAACCGAATGAGGTTATCGGCCTTGAGGTGACAAGACAAAGGAACCTAGTCGCGATCGGATACAGTCCGTTTAGAGTCTAGCCGAGGGTGGGAAATTAAGCGCTAGGGCGGTCATCAGAGCGTACAGTGGAGAATGCGACCTCGAGACATCTTCGCTGCACGACCAAACTACTAGCAAATGGCGAAAGCGGCGGATTCATGTCGTGGTCGTCAACAGACCACCTGGGGTCGAAATGAGGAGTTGATGTGGCGGTTCTCGGTGCAGATTTCCTCGCCGCTTTCGATCTTCTGGTCGACTGCCGTCAGTCACGTCTACACGACAAGACCACCAACCTCACTGTCCGGGGTATCTCTTCCTCCGACGCCTCCCGTCATCTTGCCGTCTTGGACCCTGAACCCGAGAATCCATTTCGGCAACTCCTCGCCAAATACCCCGGCCTCACTCGTCCCAACTTCAACGTTTCTGTTCCACCACATGACGTTGTTCACCACATTCGGACCACCGGCCCTCCCGTGTTTTCTCGTCCCCGCCGTCTTGCTCCCGCGCGTCTTGCGGCTGCTAAAGCAGAATTTGACCACATGCTGCAACTAGGGATTATTCGACAGTCTGACAGTCCCTGGGCATCTCCTTTGCACATGGTTCCTAAACCAAATACGGATGATTGGCGTCCTTGTGGCGATTATAGAGCCCTAAACAATATCACTATGCCCGATCGGTACCCCGTTCCTCATCTTCAGGACTTTGCTGGAGCCCTTTTCGGCAAAACCATTTTCTCGAAGATCGATTTGGTGCGGGCTTTTCATCAAATTCCGATTGCGGCTGAGGACATTCCCAAAACGGCAGTGACGACTCCTTTTGGCTTGTTCGAGTTCCTTCGTATGCCATTTGGTCTCCGAAATGCCTCACAAACTTTCCAACGTTTCATTGACCGTGTTTTACGTGGCCTTCCATTTGTTTATGCGTAGATTGATGATGTTCTCGTCGCCAGTCGAGATGTGGAGGAACATCTCCATCACCTTACCCTGCTTTTCGACCGATTTCAGCAGTTTGGTGTCACCCTGCATCCTTCCAAATGTGTCCTAGGAGCCACTTCTCTTGAGTTCTTAGGTCACCTGATAGACTCAAACGGCATTCGGCCTCTTCCCTCAAAAGTTGCCGTCATTCGGGACTTTCCACCTCCTACCTCGAAGCGTCAGTTGCAACGGTTTCTTGGTATGGTGAATTTTTATCGCCGGTTTCTCCCGAACTGTGCCGATACCATCCTACCTCTGACCAATCTCCTCTCAGGTCCCAAACGCACCTTTGAACTTACATCAGCCGCACTCACGTCATTTGAGCAGGTAAGAGACCTTCTGGCTGACGCCACCCTCCTGACTCACTTTCACGCTGATGCACCCATATCTTTGATGGTCGATGCCTCCAATGTTGCTGTTGGCGCGGTTCTTCAACAAAGTCTGCCGGATTCTACCGTGCCTTTGGCTTTCTTCTCCAAGAAACTATCCAAAGCCGAAACTCGCTACAGCACATTCGGACGTGAACTTCTCGCCGCTTATCTTGCCGTAAGGCACTTCCGGCATTTACTCGAAGGTCGAGAGTTCACAATCCTCACTGATCATAAGCCACTCACGTTTGCAATACATTCCCACTCTGACAAGCTAAGTCCCCGGGAGATCCGTCAACTGGACTACATTTCGCAGTTCACTTCAGACATCCGCCATATTGACGGGTCACGGAATGAGGTGGCTGACGCACTCTCAAGGCCCTCTATTGCTCATCTTCAGCTCTCACCCGGGATAGACCTCGCTGAGATGGCCGCTGAACAACGCCGTGTCGGTCCACCCTGTGATGAGGATGTTTCCGGACTCCAACTTCAGGAACTACCACTGACGACTGGCAACGGCACCATCTTATGCGACGTATCCACCCCTTCCCATCGTCCATTTGTGCCTCCATCTCTCCGCCGCAAAGTTTTCTCCTCCCTGCACAATCTCTCTCACCCTGGGAGTCGAGCAACCGACAAGCTGGTTTCCGACCGCTTTGTCTGGCCTGGAATGCACAAGGACCTGAAGGCATGGACACGGGCTTGTATCGCCTGTCAACGGAGCAAGATCCAGCGGCACAACAAGGCCCCCATTGGCACCTTCCCTGGCCCTGGTGCAAGGTTCAGCCAAGTTCACCTGGACATTGTAGGCCCCCTGCCTCTGTCCAATGGCTGCTCCTATCTCCTTACCTGCGTGGATCGATTCACCCGGTGGCCGGAAGCTATTCCACTGCCTGATGTCGCAGCTCCAACGGTCGTCAAGGCTTTCCTCAGTCGTTGGGTTGCCATTTTCGGTGCTCCCTCCATTATCACGACTGACCGTGGTGCCCAATTTGAGTCTAACCTCTTCCAGTCTTTACTCTCCCTTTTAGGCTGTAATCGCATCCGCAATACAGCCTATCATCCGGCGGCCAACGGGATGGTCGAGCGGTTCCACCGCCAGCTGAAGGCCTCCCTACGCGCCGCGACCGATCCGGAGAACTGGACGGACCACCTTCCCCTGGTCCTCTTGGGCATCCGCTCCGCTCTGAAGCCGGACATTGATTGTTCCGCAGCTGAACTGGTGTTCGGCTCCACCGTCCGACTCCCCGGTGAGATGATCTCGCCAACCCCTCAAGGTGCAGTTGAGGATCCTACCAACCTCCTGCATCGCCTCCGGCAGTTTATGCGGACGCCTTCCCCGGTTCCTCCCAGGTCCTCCGCCTCTCCGTCTTATCTCGAGAAGGACTTGGCAACGTGCTCTCACGTCTATCTCCGATGTGATCGAGTCCGCCGACCCCTGGAACCACCCTACGATGGCCCCTTCCGAGTTATCTCTCGTGGGACGAAGAACTTCCGCATCCAACGCGGCACTCGCGAGGAGGTCGTGAGCGTGGACCGTCTCAAAGCTGCCGTCCCTGACATTCCTCCGGATGAGTCCTGTGGTCCCCTACCCCCTGCTCCGCCTCCCCGACCCTCTATTCCTCCGTCCCGTATACTTCCTCTGCCCCCATGTCCGCAACCCACAACTGCCACCACTCCTTCATCAACCAGCAACACTGTAACCGCGAGCCATACTCACTCTACTCCTGTGCCCCCTGTATATATCACCCGTAGTGGACGCCATGTTCATTTTCCTGACCGTTTGGTTACTCATGTTTTTTAGACATCAACAGTTCCTTCGGCGCCGCTACGCGCCACCTTCGGCCTAGCCGGGGGGTACTGTGGCGGTTCGCGTCTCCTTGCCTTCCGCCTTTGTCACGCTGCTGTCCGCCTCACACTCCGTGTCGATACGCTCCTGGGACGCGCGAGTGCTCAAAAGCCAATCAACGCTGTCCCAACTCTGATTGGCTGGCGGACGTGGAGACAACAAAGGGCGCACACACGCGCAGACAACACCTCGAAGGCGGACACAGACAACGGCTTGCTTGGAGCGCGCTCGCGGTGACTGCCCACACAGCCTTTGTGTACACGCTTTCCAAGCAGTAAAGTTTGTCCAACTCAAACCGTCTTCCCTGACTTTTGATTGGGAATCTTTATCTTGTCGACCACACCACTTTCGACATTGACATCAAGATCTGCAGGGTAAGGGTTCGAAATCACGCGGGCCTGAGTGGAATTCTGATGAGTGCCGGCGGTCAGCGAAACTGAGACGGCTTAGAGCCTGCACGTCAACCTAGCCACGCTACTTTTTTCAGAGAATATGTCAGGAAGGTATCGCATTATGTGAGGGACACTATGCATGAAGTGAAAAATCGGAAAAATTAACATTTTTAAGGAGGAATCCCAGCAAATGATACTACATACAAAAGAAGGAAATGTGATCGAATACAGAACTTTAGTGGCGGCGTCCTAAATTCCCGATGGCCCTTTTTCAGTGTCATAGAGAAAGTAGTCCGGGAAGGATGAGGGAAATAAAAGCGTAATCGAGTGAGTATTCAGATAAAAGCGCAGCCTTCTCTTAAAAGTATGCAGATGATCTGATGATCTTATGTTCATTGGAAAGTTATTCCGGGGTATAGTATACCTTGGAGCGAAAAAGAGATCGTTTAGTGGTGGAGGAAGCGGAAAGAGGTATACTCAAGGAAGAATTTCGAAGATTGTGTGGGCGACGACTAGGGATAAGGGCTAAAATTCTAGGAAGAGTTGAACTATTATTAATGCGAACGAGGAGACAGAAGCCTGCTTCTAGTCTTTTAACCCACAAACATTTTAGATTACTTGGCTGGCATCTATCTGAATAAGGAATATTTACATGTTTCGTACCTAAGAGTCTTCTAGTCAGCATGGATTTGCTTCGGGCAATGAAGGATCGTAGATTTCTTGAATGAATGTACACATTTGAGGTCATTCGCATAAATAAAGGATTGAGAATGTTTAACTGGCAACGAGATATCATTTATGTACAACAGGAACAAAAGAGGACCTAAAGCAGTATCTTGTGGGGCACCACTTACAATGGGGCTCTCATTGGAGAATGAAGATCCCACTAAAACCTTTTGTTTACGATTGGACAGGTATAACTTGATAAAGTCTATAAGGGGACTATGAATTCTCAGAGCTTCTAATTTAACTAAGTCTTCTAGGTGGCACTTTATCGAAGGTTTTACCAAAATCAAAATGAATAACGACCACAGATAAATGATGATTAAGAAAAGAGGTAAGTAGATTGAAAAACAACATATGACATGTTTCACAAGAGCGATCGGGTAAAAGGCCATGTTGGGAAGGGCTAATAACTTGATTGGCTATGCAAAAGTCAGTAATTTTCATGGCAATAATTTTTTCAAAGATTTTGGCGAGAGAAGGTGTTTGATGGACACTTCGATAGTTTTGAACATCAGAACGACAGCCAGATTTAAATACC